TATGTTTTCCATGTTGCACGTAAAGAATCTTGTCCACCGAGATCCTATATTAATAAATTTTTACAAGAAAACTTGAGGAATGTAAAATAAAACTGATATATAAGAGCATAAGCGAGAGGAACTCACCCACATTAAAAAATGAATATTCTTATAATTGTTTATTAATATTAATTAAATCTTTATTGTATAATAGAACCTCAAAAGTGCTGTGTTATTAGTTTTTGCAAATAAGCAAGATATGAAAGGTGCATTAACTGCTGCACAGATATCTGAAGCTTTAAATTTAACAAGCTTAAGAGATCGTCAATGGCATATACAGGTAAATTTAAATTCGATTACGATCTTTAGTTCTATATTCAAATTTTCTAAATCATATTTGTAACTTTTTTAAGGCGTGTTGTGCGTTAACCGGAGAAGGGTAAATAATATCTTTGATATTTGAAAACTTTTTGTTTTATATAAGAATTATTAAGTTAATTTTTTTAATTTTAAAGCTTATTTGAAGGACTTGATTGGATTGTGAGCCAAATTGGAAATTCTTAAGTGTATTAATAATTTAAAAGAAAAATTAATTTTTCTGAATATTTATTTAATCAATAATATTATCGCGTTATATTAGAGATAATTTAATGAATATCGAAACAAATCTTGAATCATTCTAATTATATCCCCCAAAAACAATATTTGTGATAATCTCCTGAAATTTAATCTTTTTAAAATTTTATTAAACAGTTACTTTTGATGGTCAATTATATTATTGATTTTCAAATTGAAATTTTTTAAATTGGATCTCACGTTAAAAACATCAAAGCAATTTTTGAAATTGAGACACGTTATGTCTTATAATCTATTTTAAACTTCCTTATATTAAAAGTTGATTTTCGTAGCATAATATGCCGGGAAATTTAAGCTTGGATCAATCGGTATATTGCATTTCTTTAATAAATAAAAGATATATAAAAATACGAGTCAGCTCCGGAAGGACTATAATCTACGCAAAGGGGATTACATAGATCACGTGGCGATGTCCGACTTTACAAACTTATTAGTCCGGAGCGTAACACAGGATGTGCCGTATATATAATTTTGTCGTTTAATTGGAATTTTTTTTTATAAAAAAAACTCTTTCTCCTTTCACCCCAAATTTCTGAAATTTCTGAAAATTTTGAGAAAATTTATAGACTCTGTTAGTTAGTTTTTAGCTTACATACTTTTACAAACAATTTAATACTGAAAGAGTTCTTTTATTACTTTTATTTTTACAAAAATGGGCAGAAAATTACAAAACTCCTCATCCACCAAAAGACCCAACTATAGTCACTATAACTTGTTGAAAGCTAAACAAACTGAAGCAAGTGGTTCTTTCACCTCTGCTATCGAAAAACCCAAACCCTCCTTGGGGATGGAGATTTCCTATTATTATCTGTATAAAATGTAACTCTTTGGGGTATTCTGCTTGGGGTTTCTCTTTCTAGTTCATTTGCATTATCAAAGAAGAAAGTCCCTTGCAGTGTTTCGTCATCATCATTAAGATATCCAAATATGACATTTTGCTTATAATCAGGAGAGTATGTAACATTTCCTTTTTGTCATACTTTACTGACAAGAATATTATTAACGACACCTTTGTCATCAAGAACGCTTCTCCTTCTAATGTTCTTAATACTGAAGAATACGTCCCTATTAAGAACAATACTACTATAGAAACTGATCACTTGGATTTTATTGTTATCCCTAAATCAGCCAAGAATGTCCCAACCCCTAAAATAATTTAAGACATCAACAACTTGTTTGCAAAGAAAGTAGATAACAGTCTTATAAGACTGTTATCTACTTACGTTATACTGTTATCTGCTGGGAAAATGTTATAAAAAATTGTGATCCTATGACCTTTGTTTACCAATAATTTTTCAGCCACGTGATTTCATTAATTACTTTTATCAAATTGTTACCTCTGAAAATCACACATTTTTCTCTCACTTTCTTAGTATGATTATTATGCGCAAAGCCCGTTTGCATCGTAAAAATTAATCATACAATACGACTTAAGCGCATCAGCATTAACTGCTTTGTTTGGCTCAAGTTCTAACAAATATAGATAGGTTGTAGGTATATTTCAAAATGCGGGATTTGTTCATATCCAGTATAGTATATTTCATCACTAGAATTGGTATCTTTTTCAATATGCAATAAACACTGTGTGATCAATCAGAAATTTGCCATGAGTAGGTGATACTTCTTTGGGTAAGACTTCTCATATTAGAAGTATTATAATTTTAATTTAAAATATGACAAATTTTGTTCATAGAAGTCACTTACCTAATATTTCTGCTTTCTGATTTGGTTATGATAAAAAGATAGAAGTAAAAGGTTTTTTAATATAAAGTATATATAACTTTTAATAATTATAAATTTTAATGATTACTTATTATGTGTATATTGCTATTTTTTAAATTTGCTTGATAACTGACAACTTTCAATAATTAAATTTATCAAGTATTTCATAAGTCTGTAATATGAAAACAGCTATAATTATTAGTTTGCTTGAAAAATAATAACTTAATTTACTTTTTGTAGGTCATGATATAATAAATATTTTTTCGCAATAATATATACATTACACATCTATTTATCTTTCCAGTTGGGGCTATTATATAAAAATGTTTGAAATTATAATAATGTGACACTATCATATTTTTATGTATAAAAAGGCAAGATAGCATATTTTGTCTAAGGATAACATTATGTTAAAATGCTTTGAAAATAGTTTAGTATACTACGTCATAGATTACTATGATAGGATATATATATTAACCAGTTCAGCCATCCATGTATTATAAATTTTTTGATTAATACTAATACCACAAAATTATTGGAAATGCATGTCTAAAATTTTCTTATAAACGCCTTCCTTGTAGTTTTGATATTGCGGAAGATAACTTAACTTAATAGTATACCCCTCACTTGATCTGATAACTTTTTTGATAGGTTATTTACTGATCATCTCATGATTTAAGTTGTGGAGAAAGTAATATCTATAATACAAATTTTATAATATAAAGGGTCACCAAAAGTTCCTTAACATCACTTTTTAAGTTTGATTTTATGCTAGTAGCATTATGTAACTTAATAATATTATAGTCACATAATGTTTTAGAGTTTATTTATATAAATTAAACTTAATAAATACACATTTTGTTTATTTATTTTGACTTTAACTTAAAATAAATTTCATTCTCTGAAATCAATAAAATAAATAAAGAATTAACAAAAGAATAATGTAGCGTTATATTTTATTACCATCAATGTGATGACAGTTATAAAACTATTATCACAACTATCAGATATAGAGCGTCAACAGTGTTTGATACTTTAAAAAGAATGAATGAAACTGGAATTGCTAATTCAAGATTTCATTCTAGTTGTCTGCTCCTTATTAAATCTTTGCAACAAAATTAATTTAAGCGATTTGTAACCAATGGCAAGAAAAAAAATTATCACTTATGTATCGTTGAAGTTCAATAACTTTAGAAGAAGAAGATAAATCAGAATGTTTCAGCTAACACAATTGTCTAAATACTTCATAAAGCTGGGCTAAGAAATTGTCTTGCTCGACACTGTTAGTAATAATCCATTTGCATCACTAAATGATTGCACCAATTAATATTACCAATGATCATTATGAAAATCGTGATCATCATTTTCACTAATTTCACTGCTATCACAGTTATCACTGTGGTATTTATTTTCATTATTATTATGATTATCATTATTTTATTTATTATCTTTATTATTATAGTTATATTTACTTTCACTATTATATTTATTATTTCTTTCTTA